ATCAGCTTATGCATATATACACGCACATGGAGTAAGAACTCACCTTGATCCTTCGCATAGACACCAAGGTCACACATATATGAGTCTCCATCAGTTTTTAGGGACATATGACTCACCGTCTCATGCACCCATTTTGAGATGACAAAATAAATTTATTATTTTTTCAAAATGTAACAATAATACATTATTATAACATGGATGAACTGTAAATTCAGATATCATGAATTTGAATTTTAATAATCTCTTGTAACCAAACTATACAGCAGGCAAAAGCAAGCAAGGGGAAATGCAATCAATACATGCTTTTTGTTGATAAGGAAATTTGTGGAGAAATTGAAGTTCACTTGTATTTGAGATCTCTGGAAGCACCAATACATGTTTTTTGCTGATAAGGAAATTTGTGGAGTAAGGCAAGATCAAAAGTAAGAAAATATCAATAATATACCGGGAGAATTTTAGACGACCATGTACGACACTGTCCCCATCTTCAACTTGACCTTTGTTTGTTTCAAGTGCAAGGGCTTCAGGATTAGTAGATGAACCAAAGGCTGGTGGCGGANTTTTAGACAACCATGTACGACACTGTCCCCATCTTCAACTTGACCTTTGTTTGTTTCAAGTGCAAGGGCTTCAGGATTAGGAGATGAACCAAAGGCTGGTGGCGGATGAATGCTGACATATTAAAAGCAAGGCATACAGGTTTCAGTAATCATATAAAATTATGAGAAATCATAATAAGGGTGGACTGAACAACAAAATAAAAGCAGGATAATTAAATAAACTTGGGCGTGACAACTGAATTACATTCAGTAATAGAGAATCACCAAGAAAATATGATACGCAGACGTTCATACACAAAAGCGTTTTAGCTAAAGATTAATTTCGACAGCAATTACAATGGGAGATGGGATTCATTAGACTTCTTGGATCTCATCCAAGGCATAGTTGAACCGCTCCACCACCGGGTAACGACTTTTTGGGTCCTGCACATAATAATCAGCCACACACTCAACAATATGAACAATGTCGGAAACAATGAAAAAAATTTGTGTTTTGTGTGTGTCTGTAATGGTGTGTGGGTTTATTTGTTATGTGTGTGTGGGTGAGTGGGTGTGGGTGCGTGTCTGGTGGGTCTGTGTTGGGCATGTGTGTGATGGGTTTGGGTTTGTTTGTGTGTGTGTGCGATTTGTGTGTGGGTGATGAGTAGGTAGAAGAGGGCAGAGAAGAGGCAGGGGTAGAATGAGTGTGTGAGAGAGAGAGAGAGATGAGGCATACTTGGAAGGGGTTAGCAGTGACGGTGGTGGTGGTGGTGTTGCTGGTAAGAAGAAACAGAGGGAGAGGGATAAAGAGAGAGAGAGAGAGAGTGATTTGGCCTGTGAAGAAGGCTTGTCTGACGGAAGGTAGGGGCAAAAAAAAAAACGATGTCCAAGGCCGCAGTGCAGCGAAGTGACTGAGGCCATTGTTTCTGTTGTACCGAGAAAAATAAGTGATTGAGCCCATCTGACAGTGAAGAGGTTGAGTTGATCAAGGTTTGGAAAAAAATTATAGGTGAAAAATTTGGGAGGAAATGAGAGGATATGTGACCGTTGGATGAAATAATTTGTGACTGTTGGATTTGTTTGTTGAAGCCGCTCTGTTTTATATTATAGATGGATGAACTGCAAATTCAGATATTATGAATTTAAATTTTAATAATCTTTTGAGATCAGACTATAATAAATTTTTCTCTTATGAATATCTTAATTCTAGCATAGATGACTTACATTTGACTGAGTCAGAGAGAAAATTAATCAAAATACGTGTATGCTAGTTCAAACATCTTTAACTATTGAACCAAAAATATATATTAGTAATTATAATATCATGTACAATGAGATCAATGCTAAACCTTAATGTCGAATCACAATTAACTCAATATCTATCATAAACCGTGGACTTTACTCTCCCAAGTCAATAACAAGTTCAATGACGATTGTTTCAAGGATAATGTACAATTGTAATTGCCATTAACATTAATTTATTTGCTGCTGATGGTGACGCCCACTAGTTGGACCTCTATGGTGGCCACCGTACTCTTCCAGCCCCGTCTACTACGCCCATTGGTAGAAACTAGAGCCGTGTCTGATTACATGAAGTGCATTTCGTTTTTGGTTTTCTAAGATTTTAATATCATATAGTCAGTATTTTCTATTTTGATCCCTTATTTAAGATCAATTTTTTAATACATATATACACATCACGTGACAGTGTCGGATAGTGTATATCACCTATAAAATATTCTACATTCTAAATGAAAAAATTTTATCCTAATCATTTTGTAAAANAGGTAGAAGAGGGCAGAGAAGAGGCAGGGGTAGAATGAGTGTGTGAGAGAGAGAGAGAGATGAGGCATACTTGGAAGGGGTTAGCAGTGACGGTGGTGGTGGTGGTGTTGCTGGTAAGAAGAAACAGAGGGAGAGGGATAAAGAGAGAGAGAGAGAGAGTGATTTGGCCTGTGAAGAAGGCTTGTCTGACGGAAGGTAGGGGCAAAAAAAAAAACGATGTCCAAGGCCGCAGTGCAGCGAAGTGACTGAGGCCATTGTTTCTGTTGTACCGAGAAAAATAAGTGATTGAGCCCATCTGACAGTGAAGAGGTTGAGTTGATCAAGGTTTGGAAAAAAATTATAGGTGAAAAATTTGGGAGGAAATGAGAGGATATGTGACCGTTGGATGAAATAATTTGTGACTGTTGGATTTGTTTGTTGAAGCCGCTCTGTTTTATATTATAGATGGATGAACTGCAAATTCAGATATTATGAATTTAAATTTTAATAATCTTTTGAGATCAGACTATAATAAATTTTTCTCTTATGAATATCTTAATTCTAGCATAGATGACTTACATTTGACTGAGTCAGAGAGAAAATTAATCAAAATACGTGTATGCTAGTTCAAACATCTTTAACTATTGAACCAAAAATATATATTAGTAATTATAATATCATGTACAATGAGATCAATGCTAAACCTTAATGTCGAATCACAATTAACTCAATATCTATCATAAACCGTGGACTTTACTCTCCCAAGTCAATAACAAGTTCAATGACGATTGTTTCAAGGATAATGTACAATTGTAATTGCCATTAACATTAATTTATTTGCTGCTGATGGTGACGCCCACTAGTTGGACCTCTATGGTGGCCACCGTACTCTTCCAGCCCCGTCTACTACGCCCATTGGTAGAAACTAGAGCCGTGTCTGATTACATGAAGTGCATTTCGTTTTTGGTTTTCTAAGATTTTAATATCATATAGTCAGTATTTTCTATTTTGATCCCTTATTTAAGATCAATTTTTTAATACATATATACACATCACGTGACAGTGTCGGATAGTGTATATCACCTATAAAATATTCTACATTCTAAATGAAAAAATTTTATCCTAATCATTTTGTAAAATTGTATGTTCCACAAGTTACTGTGGTGACAATTTCTTGTTGGGTGTGTGCATCACTTGGTATTACCATGTGGTGTGTGACAAAATCCATCTCCAACCGTCCTTCCCAAGGCAGAATCCGTGAGCTAGCACCGGCATGAGGTGTGACCAGCGATAATGGGTCTCTTTGGAATTGATTTTTTTAGGTGAAAAATTATGATTTAAAAAATTTTGCAAAAAAATTAGTTAAAAAAATCCTTCAAAATCGTTTGGAGTATTTTTTTAAAAAGCTAAGAAAATTGGAAAAAGTTTGTTTGAAGTATTTTTTTTAGCTTTTGATGTGAAAATAACAAAATAATTACATGTATGTATGAATTATGCATAATAGTTCCTAAAATATGAATTTTTAAATTTTTTATGTCTCTAATAATATTTTATGAATATAATAAACTAAAAAATTATGTGTAATCCGTAACAAAACTCCAAAAAAAATAGAAAAAAAACTCATAAAATTGGTTTCTTGAATCAGTTTAAATATTTTTTTTAGATCTAAAAAGTTAATACATAAGTTGGTAAAAAAGCCAAGGTCGAAATGGACCTGACTTATTTTACTCCAAATCCCTAAAAAATTACCTATTTAAGCTAACTTTAAATAGACCCGATATTGAGTGCAAAAAGGCAAACAGGCTAGTAGAAAATCGTTTTTTGCTTAGTATTGTGTTTTTTTTTCAGGTTAAGTTATGAATTTTTTGAGATAAATTGCAATTTTTTTGGGCTAAGTTACAATTAAATAGGATTAAGCGTGTCAAAAATAAAATAATGATTGATCTTAAATTTTTAAGATCGATTCAAAATACTCCATTTTGTTATAGCTTAATCCCAAAAAAGTATAAAACAACTAAAAATAAAATAAAATTTGATACTTAAGTGTTACCATACAGTTTCTAGTTATACAAGAGAAACAAAAGAGTTATGGTGTCCTCCACCAAATAAAACAAGCAAATTGTAAAAAAAAAAAAAAGAATCCAGCATGCTACGGGTCAAGCCAATTGATTTCAGTGGGTAAAGCAAAAATCCAAATCCAAATAGTAGCATCCCCACAGACTTTTTGAGTTTGTGCACCTGTGGTTGATAAAACTAGACACCACTAGACCCTCAAACGTATCAACTTTTTTCTTTTTTTATTGCTTTTCGGTGGACTGCAGAAGCAGGCAAACGCAAAATCCGTGGAAGAAAACAACATGATAACAAACGTTGTATGGCCAATGCTATGTCCTACCATAAAGTCTCTTTCTCTTTAACTCCAATATCCCTCAACCTTCTAGAAGACTACCAAACCTTTCAACAATGGACATTCTCACAATGGAATGGACCACCCACTATTTATATCTATAAAAACAAAACACATCCAACCTTCTTTCTACAATTTATCTATCTACCCTTCTTTTCTTACTTAACAAGTTGTGTTGTGATATATGCTGTATATTCAGTCATGGAGCTCATTCCCGATCTTCCAAACGACGTTGGCCTCGATTGTTTGATTCGAGTCCCCTATAAACACTTTTCTTCCATTGCATCGGTATGTCAGAGCTGGAAGGTAGAGATGAACTGCCAGAATTTAGGCAGCGCCGAAAGGTTGCCAATGTAAGCCAACTAGTGTTAGTGATGACACAAGCACAGGTTGACCCTACCCACAACTATGGATTCATGAAGTATTTGACTACACCCGTTTATCGACTAACGATTTATGAGGAGCAAACGGGTGGTTGGAGTGAGCTGCCACCACTGCTCGGGTTCTCCGATGGGTTGCCAATGTTTTGCCACCTTGCCGCACTGGGGTTGAACCTAGTGGTGATTGGAGGGTGGAATCAGGTGACTTGGGAGGTTTCAAATGCTCTGTTCATTTACAATTTTCTTTCTGCCAAGTGGCGTCGTGGGACCGATATGTCAGGTGGTCATAGATCATTCTATGCTTGTGCGTCTGATTCTAATCGAACGGTGTTCATTGCTAGTGGACATGACTACAATAAGAATGCTTTAAGATCTGTGATGATGTATGACGTGACATAAGATGAGTGGGTCCAACTACGTGATATGGCAAGGGAGCGAGATGAGTGCAAGGGGGGGTTCCACCGTGGCAAGTTCCATGTCATTGGTGGGTACCCCACAGAGATGCAAGGTCGCTTTGAAAGAAGTGCCGAAGCTTTTGATGTTGCCACATGGCAGTGGGACCAAGTCCAAGATAACTTCTTGGAAACTGCCACGTGTCCAATGACTTGCGCGGACGGTGGAGATGAAAGACTCTTCATGTGCCGGGCTGGTGATGTGTCGGTCCTACAGAGTTCCACAGGGCAAGTTGTAGCTGAACTTCCAACTGAGGTACAACATACTGCCTTCGTGACAACATGGCAGGACAAGTTGTTAGTGATTGGCTGTACAAGATTCGACGAGTCCCACAGAGTCTACGTAATGGGTTTGAAAAATCATAAGTGGACAAAACTGGAGGCACTGGAGGAGTACTCTGGCCATGTTCAATCAGGTTGTTGCTTACAGATATAAAGATTAAAGAGTTTGTATTACTTGGCATAGTTGTGTAGTGAATGCATTGAGAATACACCTTAATCGATCAGTAGAACATTTCATCAGGGCAGCCTGACAAATATGGAGTCTTAGGCAAAAATATTCAGTGAGTTAATGCATACAATACAATAATATAAATACCACTAAATAAATATTAAAATATTAATATATATTCATTTAAAAATTATTTGGGTAAATTTTAATTGACATCGTTTGAAAAATAACCTAACTACAAGAACATTCTCTATGGTTTCTCAAATCTCCTGGTCATCCCCTATAATTTAAATGTTCATTTCACATGCTACACCTGCCTTCAGGGACAAAATGACATATCCAAAAAATGATGATATCAGCAAATACAATGACAATTATACTCTTTAACTATAAATAAGCCTTGCAGTTAAATACATGTGTTCTTTTTCCAAGCAAAGCTAAGCTTGAAACCAAACAACCCTCATGTCTTTTAATTTCATCTTCTACATATTAGATACACTAATTCTCTTTCTCTCTCTCTCTCTCACACACACACACAAACACATTCATCCAATTTGTAAGCTTGGAAAAATTTTAGCCTTCACTACTTGTCACAATCCAAACTTCACCAATGTCAATTTGATATTGAAATGATAAAGTTAAAATATTAAAAGAATATTAAATTGATAAAATTAATCTTAATTCCAGCGACCCAACGATCCTCCATGTTCAGCTCCTAGCCATAGCAACCAAAACTCCAAAATCTATGTAATTCACTTTCTCTCTCTCTCTCTCTCTCTCTCTCTCTCTCTCTCTATCCTAACCATGATTTGCCACCACCCAACAGGTCTACCACCGAGCCCATCCCCACCATAGAAACACAATAGAGTTATACCCCACAATCAAAAAAGAAATCCCTTTCTCGTCAGAGTTTGTCAACCAACAATACCAATAAGAAGTCGGAGATATAAAGTTTTTGTTGAATGAAAAAATAAAATATGAAATCCCTAACACAATTGGGATTTAATAGGGAGCCATTCAGAGCTGAATGAAACCAAAGTTTTATATTTGATTTTGATTTAGAGAAACTTTAAAAATGATGAATCCAAGTTGACTATAACTCCTAGTCTTCTATGTTAATGATGTGGGTTTGATTATGGCTACCCTCTTTATATCCTCTGTATTATATATACCTTATTTTTTATATACTATAATGAAGTTATAATAATATTTTTATATGCTAATTAATTCTATTCTTCTAATGCGAGAAGGAGGGAGGGAGCCAGATCAGTGGTGTAGCCACTTGAGGACTAGTTGTTTTCTTAACATTACCTACATGTATTATAAATGTTTGTTAAGCACATTCAATCATGCATATTCTATGATTTTTCATCTCATATGAATTAATACCTAAATGACTAGTGATTTTTGGAGACGCTTCAAACATTACCAATCTCCGGATAGGTTTTGGTCATATTGGGATTATTTTATAACTTAAAAAAATTACAAGGTTAATTTGTTACTATATAAAAATTACAATCATTGTGTAATAAAATAAGGTTTATTTTTATTAGTTTATTGAAAAATCAACCTCACAACATAAAATTACAATAATTGGGAGTTAAAAAAAATAAAAATCTAGTTATGTCTGTATGATGAGAACATTCTCATGAGACTAAAATGAGGGGTCATTTGAAAAAAGAGGGAACTCAAAAGGGTAGCTAAAGTGTTAATAGGGACTAGTTGTAAACCCAGAAGTCATGAGTTTAAATTTTGGCAACCTCTTGGAGCCGATTCATGAAGGATTTATCCCTCATAAATCCTTTAGTCCCGACGTGGATGACCTGTTTTTGACCGTACCGGGGAAAGGACTAGTCGAAGTGCGCATAAGCTGGTTTGGATACTGTTGAACATTAAACCAAAAATAAGAAAAAGAAAAGGAAAAGAGAGAGGATAAGAAGTGATCGGTGATTGTACGACGCACAATGATTGTATAAACTCTTTTCTAATATTTTTTCTCTCGTGAGTTACGATTTACTTTTATTAGAGATTCAAATAGTTCACAATAATACTATGAATGGTTTTTGATCCTTTGTATGGAATGAATTTTAAGTATCAAATACGATTTTAGTGAATATAAATGTATAATGTTATTTAATCGATTGAAAAGAAAAAAAAAGGAAATAAACCTTGTTTAAGTATCCACTCAAGAAAGAATTTTCAACTCTGGCCCTGAGGAAGGTGGAGGTAATAAGACAACTTCGGAGCTGTAATTTTAATTATAGGCAAATTAGGAGGGGGGAGATGGAGATAGTGTGTAATTGGGGCTAGTAAGGCAAACTTGCGGAGTAATTCTTCTAGGGGCAGTTATCAAACGTGAGATTGATTGATAAATTAAGATGACCTCCTAAGGTTTATTACTTAATCATTCAAATTTCTTGATATTTGAAATATTACATATAGTTCCTTTGAGGTTTGTACACGCATTAACACTTAAACTTTGTCGTCAATCTCCATTAGTAAATTATATCTAGACCCCTGATATTTGTAGGTGTATAATACTTAGACCCCTTAAGTTTAAAATATTATACTTAGACCAAAAATACTCCAANCGTTTGTACACGCATTAACACTTAAACTTTGTCGTCAATCTCCATTAGTAAATTATATCTAGACCCCTGATATTTGTAGGTATATAATACTTAGACCCCTTAAGTTTAAAATATTATACTTAGACCAAAAATACTCCAATAAAAAATAGAATATCTAATATTTTAAATTTTACAACCAAAATTCATATTTTATTGTATCATTTATTGATATAAAATAAAAAATTAAAATCTATTTTTTTCTTAAAAAATCATAATTAGTATACAATTATATTATCTTAAAACCCTCTACAGATCCTGCAATCATCTTAACCACATTGTTCTATTGATGGTAAAAGAGTACAGGTGGCACCATGGCCGATTGAACAGTAGAGTTGAAAAAGTATGCCCCCCAACACAAAAAGCTCCAAATTTTAAAGTTCAATGATTAAGTATATATCAAAGATTAAAACCCATTATAATTTAGCTTAAAAAAATTTATGAAAGATTAAGTCAACGTAGTTAATATATAACAAAAAATTGCAAAATACCCTCCTAATTTCCTAATAAGGGAAAAGAAGGAGGGGTAAAACTTCTAGACAAGAAGTTGAGAAGAAAGGGCAAGGTCTCCAATGCTACAAATGTTATGGTTTTGGACCTGTGGTTGCGAAATGTCCAAGAACAAAGAAAAAGGACATGCCCAAAGAAAGGAGGAGAGCCTTGAAAGCTAAGGTAAGTGAGAGTGAAAGAGAGTCTACATCGAGTGATGACTTCTCTTCATAGTGATGAATAGAATTTCATACACTTCGTTGTTTCACATGCCTCCTCCTCATAGAAACTTCTAGGGTGGAGGTTGAGTCAAGATCTATCGCGAAGGTAAATGACTTGAATGTTGAAGTCTTTACCAGCGAGGATGAGGCTGAGAGTGTTGAAGACCTCTAAGATGCATGCTTTCAATTATATGAGGAGTGTCTTAAACAAAAGAAGAGGTTGATTTCATTGAGAACGAGGCTCAAAATGAGTGAACAAGATAAGAAAGTACTTCATGTAGACTTAGTGAAGTCCAAAGCTTATATTTGTGGGCATGAGGAAGAGAAGAAGTCTCTCCTAGACAAAGTGAGCTTTCTTGAGGGTCAGAACAATGGATTTTTAGAGTCAAAGAAGAGCCTAGAATTTAAACTTGTCAAACTTAATAGGGATCTTCATGAATCACAAGAACTCTCAATGAGACTTTCTCTAAGCACACAAAAGTTGAATAAAATGTTGTCTGTAGGGATGACTGTGGATGACAAACGAGGCCTAGGCTATACTAATGAGAACATCATCCCCATATGATCAAAGATCGTGTTTGTGAAGGGTAATTGATTAACCCTAAAATGCTGTATTATTTATAAAAGTTTATGGGTTAGTTGCATTAATTAAATTGTTAAAGGGTTAAAAGTTAAATGATTTTTGTACTAATGGGTCAAAACATGTTATTTTGAAATTAGAGGGTCTAAAATATGAAATTGGAAAGCTAAGGGGCCAAAGTGCAAAAAAGAACATTGAGGCAATATTACTGCTAGCATTTGGAAGGCCATGCACCATCTGAATGGTGGGGTCCAACATTCGGACAAGACACCAAGGAAAAAATTTGTCGAAGTCCAGTAGAGGAGCACCGCCCAGATGGTGGAAGCTGGCATTCGGATGGTGGTGAAACCAACTTACCTCTTTTCCTCCCATTGGTCAACTGTGGCAATACTTGAATCATATTGGCCTATTATGGAAGGTGCTGCCTAATCCTCTTCTATAAATACTCCCCTCCCAGTAGTTTTTCAAATCATTCTTCAGTTATACTTTATGGCTTTCCTAGTCTATTGTCTTTTCTACAATTTTTTGAAGACCTCCTTCTACTTGGAGGAGTAAACCTCTCTCACTCTTCCTTGCTTGTCTTGGTAAAGGAAGGGTGGTGGTGCTTCAATCTAACCTCGAGGAAGAGTTAGGAGCTTTGTTTATGTTTTATTGTTTGTACTATTTTCAATCTTAATTAGAGGAATGAACACTGATTTGATCTTAATCATACACCCAAGTATAAGTGGTTAAGTTTTAATATTGCTCGATTAAGTCTGAGGTTGAACCCACAGGGAGTTATCTGCTAGAACTCAAAATAGAAAATGTATGATTGCTGTGCACGTAGTGTGCATTACAACAACTTGTGGTGTGAACTTAGAATTGATAAGTAAATACTAAAATTAAACTTTTGATTATAACAATGGAAAAAAATACTCTTTAGTTTGGAGATCCAACATACATTCCATTGTTTGATTATAAAAATGCCACCTTACAGTAATTAACTTCCACATTACTAAAAAGTTAACCGGTAGGTTTGATATATAAGTTGAATCATGTTACAACAACTGTTTAGGTTAGTCAGAAGGT